AAGCTCAATTTGGATATCCCATGTGGGTGGCAAGGACCCAAGTACTAGAGCCACCATCTGCTGCCCCCCAGGCACATTAGCAGGGAGCTGGAATTAGGAGCCAGTACAAACCAGGCACTGCAATATGGGATATGGGCATCCCAAATGGTGACTTAACCATTGCAGGAAATACCCAGTGACACAATTGAAATAGAGAAATGATATGACCAGATTCGCCTTTCTAAAAGAAAACCATCTACACAAACATGTACTGACCACTGACTATTGACAAAAGCAATTATGTAAAGAAAGATATTGCAACAGTAGAATATATACATACCAAACTAGATAGCTAATATACAAAAATTAACTCAAAACCTAAGATAGATCTAGATGTATAACTGAAAACTACTCGACTTCTTAATCTTTAGGATCTTAGATTTGAAAAATGATTTCTTAGATCTGATAGCAAATGCAGAATTTGTAAGTGAACAAATTGATAAACTGAACTTTGTCAGAGTTTAAAATGCATTCTCTTGAAAAAACAATGAAGACAAGCTACAGATAGAGAAAATATTATTAAATTATATTTCTGATAAAGAACTTATGTCCAGAACATACAGATAACTCTAAACAGTCCAAATAAAGCCTTAAGCAGTTCAATTATTAAAAAGCAAAGAAATTAAGCAGAGTCTTCATCTAAGAATGTATACAAATGGAAAATAAGCATGGGAATAATTGTCTACATCATTATTCACTGGAGAAATGTAAATTAAATAAGAAACATTTACAAGTTTGATTAGAATGCTAAATTAAAAAAGGCTGACCATACCAAGCATAGGAGAGGATGTGGAGGAACTGAAATTCTCATTTGCTGGTGGAAATGGAAGATGGTACAACCATTTAGCAAGCCTGTCTGGAAGTTTCTTACAAAAGTGAATGCATATCTATTCTGTGATCTATTATTTCCACTATTATTTAAATAGAAGCAGAGACCCATACAAATATGTATGGACATTCATAGCAGCTTTACTTGTAATAGCCCTATATTGGAAGGAACTCAAATGTTTGTCAACAAATGAATGAATTAAAAGGCCATGTTATAACAATGCAGTGGAATACTACTTATCAATCAAGAACATAACAGCTAGATTAAGTATTGCAGACATTCTACTCAGTGGAAAATGCAGTACAGAAAAAGAATCCTGGCTTTGTGGCACAGCGGATGAAACTGCTACCTGAGATGTCCACATCCCATTTCACATCACAGGTCCCAGTCCCAGCTACTCCACTTCCAATCCAGTGCTCTGCTAATGCTCCTGAGAGAGCAGCAGCAGATGACCAACCCCATGGGAGATCCGAATAGAGTTCCAGGCTCCTGGCTTTGGACTGGCCCAGCCCCTGACATTGTGGCCATTTGGGAGGTGAAATAGAAGAGGGAAGATTTCTTTCTCTGTCTCTCTCTCACACACATACACACTCTGCCTTTTAAATAAGTGAGTAAATAAACAAGCAAATAAATAAAGCTTTAAAATTGAAAGAAGAGTACTTCCTGTAAAAATCTACTGATATAAAACTCTGAAAAAATAAAACTAATCAATATTGACAGAAAGCAGACTGCCTAAACAGGGGGGTGGGAAGAGTGGAGGGGAGAAGTACAAAGAAGTACAAATGGAACTTTTGAGATGATGGATTTGGTAATAGTTTCTTGAGTATATGCACATGCTATTGATAATTTTTTAAAATTATCAATTTGTACAATTTTAAATACAAACATGTTTTTAAAAGTTCACAGAAAATGGAATTAAGGATTGATTTTCATACAAAAACATTTTGAAACTCATGCATAATTTTTTAATCATATGCCTTTGAATTGAAGACTCCTTGTATGTGAAGTTTATATGCCAAGTATACCATATATATGTATATATATGTATATATGCCAAGCATACCTTAAAAAGGCTGTGTCCAAAAAAAATCCCTTTGCCTGTGCAATGCAGAACTATCTGCAGTAAAGTAAGAGTGGGAGGAGGGAGACCTCATCAACAAAGAGGACATGGTTGGGATATGTCCTGGCAGGGCTGCAGCCATTAAATCTTCAAAGGATAAATTTTCTTTTTAAATTTACATTTTTATTTACATAAAAATGGAAGGCTGCATGAAACCTCTCAGTACTATTTTTTCTAGTTAATAAATTTATTTTTCATATAGAGGACAGATTTAATGTAGTTCATAGATACAATTCTAAGAATATAATGATACTTCCCATCCTCTCTCTCCTTCCTCCTTACTTTCTTTTTTAATCTTTGAGACCATATATTTTTCATTTACAGTCAAAGCCTTAAAATGCTCCACTAAAGAAAGAGTTCAGCAAGTTAAAAAGTAGAAAGCCCACTGTTCCACAAGGGATAATTTTTCACCTCCTCAGGTAAAAGGCTTCAGGGGAAAGAGTCATCAGGCCTTTGTGCTCTGGAAGGTTCATTTATAGCTATTTCCCAAGTGCCATGATATATTGATGAGTTTGAGTAAAACAGAAAAACAGCGGTGGCATGGAAGAGTACTTTAGATTTGACTAGTGTGGAGTACAGAACAAATTATGTCCTGCTTCAGTTTGTTTATCTGTAAAACAGAAAACAGAATTAATCATGACTTTCTTGACTTTGGGTTTTTCTGTTATCTCCTTAGGTCAAGGTAAGGAAATGCCCATGGTGTTTAGCAATGCAGAAGATAAAGCTACTATCCCTGTTGTCTCCGCAGAGGCCTTAAAAATGCAGGACAGACCCAGGGGAAAACCTCCACATGCCTTCTGGAGAAACACTGTCCAGATTCGGGGGTCTAAGGAATTGGAAAAGCTAGGGCAGCCTGGGGTCCCTGCTGACATACAGGGAAATCTCCTTTATAAATAAATTTAGGCTTCCGTTTACTCTGCCTTTCAATTCCCGCCTGCCTTTTCCATTTTTACGCAGGAGCGATCCTCCGCAAAGCAGCAATTGCGGTAGTCCACATCACCCTCCACGCAAAGCTGTCCATCAAGAGGAAGAAAGGCAGCTTTACATAGGTTCTATCCCTTGATCGTGCGGTCTGAAAGCTTAAAATGTTCAAAGAACACTTTGAAAACCGAGCGACTGTATACAAGCAAACATTTGCAAAGCCCTGGACAAAATCGAGGGTTCGTGTGTACATGGCAAGTGTCGCAGGTCTATGTGCCTCTGCCTGTTTGTTTAAGTGATTTTGCTTTTGCAAGTCAGAATAGGTGAGAAGTGCATGGCCACAGGATTCTAGACAGGAGGGGTACAGAAGAGGGTAGAAATGACCTCTCGGTCCTAGGTTCCCAAACTACTCCTAAGGAGGAATCGCAAAGGTTTCACAAAGTGTCGGCTGGCTTGGCCATTTCTTGCCCCTCAATTTATAGGAGATTCTCCCTTCTGCGTATCCCCTTCGGCCCTGAAAAGAACCCCTGGCAGCCATTAGGAAGGAGCTGGTACTTCTATCCTCTATTCTCCCCCTCTTCCTCCCCCCAGCGTCTGTTTTGAGATTGGGTTTTGGAACCAAATCTGGCGAGTGCCGGCCTTCCGGAGATCCGGTAGCCCAGCCCTCAAAATCAAGCTGCAGGTTAAAGCTCCTACCCTCGCGCCCGAACCCTGGTCCAAGAAAGAAGGAGCTACTCGGCGAGCAGGAGTCCTCCAGAGCTAGAGCGAGCCTCTCCGGCCCTCCCTCACGCTGCGCCAGCACTTGTTTCTCCAAAGCTGCCGCGTGCCGGGAGGGGAGGGGAGAAAAGGAAAGGGGAGGGGAGGGGAGGGAGAAAGGAGGTGGGAAGGCCTGGAGGCTGGGCCGGCGGGGGGGCGGGACCCGAGTCCAAACTGTTGCATTTGCTTTCCACCTCCCAGCGCCCCCTCCGAGATCCCGGGGAGCTAGTCCGCTGGGAGAGTCAGAGGGTCCGGAGCAAGCCTGGAGGCAGAGCAGACGCCGGGGGGAAAACGACAGAGCTTAGCCGCTCCTGTGCCCAACAGGAGCCGAAGGGACGCACCGCGCCAGCCCCAGCCGGGTTCCAGCGACAGCCACCACCTCTAGCAGCGCGGCGGTTTCAAAGCCGCCGCCCCAGCGCTGCCTTTTCCTCTTCGGTGAAGTTTTTAAAAGCTGCTTGAGACTCAGAGGAAGAGAGCAAAGTGCCGGGTAGGACTGAAGGCTGCCTTTGTCCCCCCCACCCTTTTTCCCCCCACCCCTTCCCCCCCCCCGTGTCACCTTTTATTCTTTTTTTCCCCAAACGCCTCCCTTCGGGGGGGGTGTCCACTCTTCCCCCCCCCCCCCCCCCCCCCCGCCTTCAGCCCCCGTCAGCCCAGAGCTGCCAGCCAGTTTGCAGAGAGGTAAAACTCCATTTGACTGAGAGCGGATGAACTAGCTGCACGTTGCAAAGAAGGCTCTTGGGAGTCCGGCGACTGGGGAGCGGCTTCAACACCGCCGCCAGGACCTGGCTAGTTAGTCGGCACGCCGAAAGGGCTCCGGAGTTCCCTCCACTCCTTTTCCACCCCCTCTTGCCTGCCCCCACCTCGAGTGCGGAGCCAAAGATCAAAAGATGAGAAGGCAATCAGGGCTTCAGTAGCCCAAACAAAAACCAAACCAAAAACAAAACAAAACAAGAAGAAAACCAGATTCTTATTTGCACCTGCTTCGGTGGACGCTGAATTTGGAAGGCAGAGGTTTTTTTTCCCTTCTTCTTCTCCCCCACCCCAAGATATGTAGAATTTTTCAATCTACACTTGAAGTACTGAAGGACAGACCAAGCCTAGCAAGGCAGATCGTGCCCAGCGCGTGTCTTTCTCTGCACGAGACTTTAAGGTTGCCAGAGCTGTTTTTTTTTTTTTTTTTTTATTGCTCCTGCAAGTTAGCTCCCTGGAGCTTCCCGCAGGTGGACAGCTGGCTTCAGCGACTATTGCATCGTCACAGCCTGTTGAACTCTTCTGAGCAAGGAAAGAGGAGGTAGGGGTAAGGGAATTAGGTGGTAAACTGAACCAAGCTCAAGGATGGAGGTGCAGTTGGGGCTCGGGAGGGTTTACCCCCGGCCGCCGTCCAAGACCTATCGAGGAGCTTTTCAGAATCTGTTCCAGAACGTGCGCGAAGTAATCCAGAACCCGAGCCCCCGGCACCCTGAGGCCGCGAGCGCAGCACCTCCCGGCGCCCGTTTGCAGCAGCAGCAACAGCAGCAGCAGCAGCAGCAGCAGCAGCAGCAGCAGCAGCAGGAGACCAGCCCCCGCCAGCAGCAGCAGCAGCAGCAGACTGAGGATGGCTCTCCTCAAGCCCAGATCAGAGGCCCCACGGGCTACCTGGCCCTGGAGGAGAGACAACAGCCTTCACATCAGCAGCCAGCCCCCGAGGGCCGTCCTGAGAACAGCTGCGTCCCAGAGCCTGGAGCCGCTGTAGCCGGCGGTAAGGGGCTGCCGCAGCAGCCGGCAGCACCTCCGGACGAGGATGACTCAGCTGCCCCATCCACGTTGTCCCTGCTGGGCCCCACTTTCCCGGGCTTAAACAGCTGCTCTGCCGACCTTAAAGACATCCTGAGCGAGGCCAGCACCATGCAACTGCTTCAGCAGCAGCACCACCACCACCAGCAGCAGCAGGACGCGGCAACTGAAGGCAGCAGCGGGAGAGCGAGGGAGGCCGCTGGGGCTTCCACCTCCTCCAAGGACAGTTACCTAGGGAGCACCTCTGTCATCTCCGACAGCGCCAAGGAGTTGTGTAAGGCAGTGTCGGTGTCCATGGGCTTGGGTGTGGAGGCGTTGGAGCATCTGAGTTCTGGAGAACAGCTTCGGGGAGATTGCATGTATGCTCCGCTCCTGGGAGGTCCACCCGTTGTGCGTCCCACTCCCTGCCTCCCGCTGGTGGAATGCAAAGGTTCCCTGCTGGACGATGGCCCAGGTAAGGGCACTGAAGAGACTGCTGAGTATACCCCTTTCAAGGGAGGTTACAACAAGGGGCTAGAAGCCGAGAGCCTGGGTTGCTCTGGCAGCGGTGAAGCAGGGAGCTCCGGGACACTTGAACTTCCGTCCACCCTGTCTCTCTACAAGTCCGGAACTCTGGACGAAGCAGCAGCGTACCAGACTCGTGACTATTACAACTTTCCGCTGGCCCTGGCCGGGCAGCCACCACCTCCTCATCCCCACGCTCGCATCAAGCTGGAGAACCCGCTTGACTACGGCAGCGCCTGGGCGGCCGCCGCAGCACAGTGCCGCTATGGGGACCTGGCAAGCCTGCACGGCGGGGGTGCAGCGGGACCCGGCTCCGGCTCACCCTCAACCGCCGCTTCCTCTTCCTGGCACACACTCTTCACAACCGAAGAAGGCCAGCTGTATGGGCCCTGTGGCGGGGGCGGCGGCAGTGGCCCTGGCGAGGCAGGGGCCGTGGCTCCCTATGGCTACACTCGGCCACCTCAGGGGCTGACTGGACAGGAAGGAGACTTTCCCGCACCCGAAGTGTGGTATCCCGGCGGCGTGGTGAGCAGAGTGCCCTATCCCAATCCCAGCTGTGTCAAAAGCGAGATGGGACCCTGGATGGAGAGCTATTCTGGACCTTACGGGGACATGCGGTAAGTTTTTCCTCCAAGAATTGTCGCCTTTTGGCCCAGGGCGCAGAGTCACTTTGCGTTCCGATATCTCGCTCCTCCCAGTGCGAACTATCCCAACTGGCCCTGCGGGAAACTCAGCAGGGTTCCTTCCGTAGGAAGATCTGCCCTAAATCTGGAGCCCTCCTGGGACTCCTGGACTGCCAGAGAGTCAACCTGAGCGATCCCAATCCCTGTTGTGTGTGCCTTTCGTCTGGTTCATGCCCTTTTCGGATTCCTCGAAAACTCCCTCCGTCACCTAAAATCCGTGCTACCTCCGAGCACTCCAGATCCCGCGGGCTCCAAACTTAAATCTGATCACACTGGTCACTTTCGGAGATAGAGCCCTTAAGCCCTGCACTCCTTTTTATTTTTTCTTTTAAGCCCTCCACTCTTCCCCCAAATTCGAGAATTGCGATCAGACATGCGGTCAGTTTCTCCTCATAGGGAGTAGGTTTGTTACGGTTTGTCTTCCAGCTTGTGGTCAGTGTCGGCGTATTAGAGGCAAAAGACTGACCCACGCTTTTCTCAGCCCGCCTACTCCAAAAAGATAACATGGAACACCCGGTTGGGAGAGACAGTGGTCTCTGACTCCTGTATGAAGGGGCGAACTTCCTTTTCTGGAAGCAGCTGGGGATTTGCTCCAGGGTTGGAGGTCAAGGAAGAGAATAAAACATGTTTAGAGCCAGCAGACAGACAACTTTGTCCTTAAAGACTGGGCAAGATTTCTCAGCCTGCCAGATTTCTCAGCGTTGGTTAACTGTGTTGGAAGTAGCTGCTTGGGTCGATTATCTCTTAGGTGTTCATTTTCTCTGTGGATTATAACAGATCTACAGCCTTGTACTACCTCAGATCTGCATAAGGTCTATGAAAAGGAGAATGTCCTCTGAAGAAACAATTTATGCCGGCATGAGTCTGACTTACGAAAGTGTTAGGAAAAAAAAAGAGAGAGAGATTTTGTAACCATTTCCTGCTCTATCCAGTGTGCTCAGAAATCTGCAGTGAGGAGGGAGGACCTGAGGCTCTTCAGAGTGTTTCTTCATTTTAAGGATACACTTGCATTTAAACACATGAGCTGTTAGTGCTAACAAATTGCCTAAGAACTGTTAGTGACCTATGAGCCATAATCTTGCCCCAGAGTTTTAATTAGGACATGAGAAAAGTGGCAGACAATTTCATTTTGCTTATTAAAAATTCTTCCTCTGCACATGTTGAGCTTCTTAGAGATCATGCTGAAGATTTTTCTCCCCTGTAAATTAAGATACTAGTTTCTCTGGTGAGGGAGAGATTATTGACTGGGAAATTAATTCTTCAGGCCGGCCAGGAGCTCATATCCCCATGGACTTATTCTATAATTGTGTCTTATTCTGTAGTTCTTATTTCCCCTAAATTTATTCATCACTCACTATTTGTTTGATGACCAAAGTCTAACAATTTGCTTCTTTTCACTGATTCATCCATTCTTGGAAGGTTGATAGCACAGTGTCAGAAAAGGAAGAGAGGATAGGAGTTCAGACACTATTGGTTTCTGCCTTGGTGAAGAAACAGCTTCTTATTAGGCTCTACATTCCATGAGGTTTTTAAGGTTTGGCTTACAGGATTTTCGAAGGGTTTATTTGATATCGTCAAAGTTTTTTCCAGTTAATTTGGAATGTTTATTTTTGCCATGATGCTAAACCTAGTTTCTAGAACCTTTGATCTTCAGCTCACTCCCTACCACTCCCCCCCAAAAAACAACAGTTTATACTCACTTAACAGAGAGGAAACTAATGACCCCACATATTTTTAAGGGATATGTGTCTTTGAAGACACAACTAAAATCTTGAAGAGGTGGCTATAGAGAACAAAATGTTCTTCCCATTAGGTATTCGATGATCTTACTGATTTTATCCCACATCTTAATTGAAAATCTTCTCCATTAGGAGGACATCATACCCTAATGCCTCCTTGACAAACTATTGAAAATATTGAGACTTTAGTCCTGCTCTCAAAATGACAATGTTATTTAATCTTTGCTGGTTTGTGATTGCAGCAGTGGTTATGAGGAGTCTAGTGAAAGGGAAAACTGCTGTTGCTGTCTCGTGTGTTGACAAATAATTTCCATTTCTACGTTATGGAAAATGCCTTGAGTCACTTGACTGAAAATTAATAAACTTCAATAGAATGCAATCAATCTCAATCTAAAGGCTGACATATTTTCTTACTTTCTTTTTCTTTCCCTCACTTCGAAGGGGCCCAATTCGCTGAAAGGCAAGGGTGTTTTTAAGCCAAATTCAGAGCTTCCTCCTCCCATGTATCGAATGCACTCTGTGCCAACTCTGAGTTGAAAAAAATCTCGAAATTTTGGCTCCGCCAGATAATCAGTCGGTATCCTCCCTTTTCCAGTAGTGTTTGCCTTCTTGTACATAAGTCAGTTGTGCAGATGGATTTTGTTTTTCACTTCAGTAACTTCTGCAATAACTCTGTGTTCTTATATATTTACAATGTTTCTGTCTAGAGAGGGACATGGGCTGAAGGGGGTCCTTATTTTTTTCTTTAAATGTAGCATGTGGTTTGAACAGAAGCAATAATAAAAAGTGAGGAGGTTGGTGTGCAATGCTGATGATACTTTATGGATCTGTCTGCACTCAGAGAGCAAACAATATTATGATTTTGCTAATTGACCACTAGTTCGCTTGACAGAAGTAGAGCATCTTATATCCCAACAAGCAGCGCAATATAGCAAACATTGATTCTTGGGAGTTGGGGCTCAAGGAAGCCCACGCAGGAATTAGAGTTAAGGTTTAGAGAAATTATCCAGATGCAAAAGAGCATCTCAATTTTTCTTTTGGTAGTTTGTGCTGATCTCCACAATAGGTAGTATTTTAGTAGTGATTTGATAGTGGCACATCCTGATTTTTCTGTTGTTATTATTTTTTAAATTAGAGCATTTTATTAATTCTCTCTTATTTCCTTTCCCCTCCCCTGTTATTCAAATAGCAGCTTTTTTATAACTTTCTCACAAGGAGCAGTTTTTCTGTATTGTAAAGCAGAATTTTGCTTTGAGGCCAAGGCAGACAAATCCACAGGCTTTGGGAGTAGGTGTGTTGGGAAGAAGCATCCTTTCCCCGTAATCAGTAAATAACTGGTGAACTCTGTCTGGATTCTAGTAATCAGAGCTTTAAAACCCAATAACTATGGGAATGGAACCCCATTTAGAAGAGCCTGCGGGATAGAGTTGGAAGGATCTGTCGCTTGTCCACAAAATATCTGTCTCAGCTCAGCTAAAGGTTAACATCGGTGAGAGATATTTTCGAAGAAGCTTGCAGCCTTCTGATTGCAGGGTCACTTTGGGGTGCTTTCTTGCCAGAGCTAATTTTACCTCATCAGACTTCCATTCTTTGAGCTGTAAACTTGGAAAAAATATATTTAATTTGCTGGAGTATTTAGTTTTCTTTGTTGAGTGTTTTTCCTCCCTATAGCAATTTTCTCATCTGGTATGCATACACACATTTAAAACAAAGAATTCCTTAGTCGCCGGACTCATACATGTACTGTGCTCTTAGTGGGATTATATGAGTTGGAATTAGATAGACATGGACAACTTCGTTTTTATTCTTATTAATGGTGGGATCAAGGGCTCCAGTTTCCTTTGGAACCCCGCTCAAGCAGGAAACAGAATGCGGGCTAGGTAAACAAAGCAAGGGGCTTATTTTAAAGCCATACCTGAAGTCATGATTCTGAATAAGAAAAAGCAAATGAAAAAAAATCAAGTTTTGTGAGGTTCATCTGAGAGGGAAAAGAAAATATCCCTACCGCAACACACTACCTCCACCATTTTCTCTTTGTCTGCAGCTTCCTCAAATGCTGCCTGTCCCCGATTTTCTTTTATTCCGCTCCTTTTATGCTTCTGACACTGAAATATAGACTCTTCTTTCTACTTCTCAAGATATTTTTCTCATTACACCTGTGGCATGCTCCTAAAGAATTTCTTTTTTAAAGAAAATCTGCAGAGTAACAGATCAGATCAACCTTAGCACCTCTCTTAAAACCAGATGACATGAGAGGATTGCAAAATGAATAGCCAGGCTTTTTTACCTTGAGGTTAGAGCCTGATTCAACAGTTGCTGAGGGAAAGAAGCCAGAGGGTTTGAGGACCCAGAGATTTAATGAAGCATTCGCTGGTCTCTCTCTGTCTCTCTCTCTCTCTCTCTCTGTCTCTCTCTCTCTCTGTCTTTCTCTTGTTCCCTCTTTTTGTCTGCTGGTCATGTTGCCACCCTTCTCTCTGAGGCCGAGAAAAACTGGATCTCTCCCCTTCCCAGACAGCTCTGTCTAGGTCAGACCTCAGCGGCGCTATCACAAGCAGTACCTAATTCGCATGTGAGGGTGTGCACTGCATGTGGCCAGGTGAGTTTATCTGCTCAGGCTATGTGTAAATTAATCATTGGAAAACAATTAATGATATTAAACGGATGATTCTATCTCCTACTTCCCCTGCCAGAGTAAATTATCTTTATCCTAAACACAAAAGCTGACTTTAAAAATTGCTTGTGAAGTTCTACGCAGTTAGCAGCATCAGTTGTCCTTTATGTCGCAGGGAAGAGAATTATAAAATCTCATATTTATGTAGCAACCTTTTCAAAGAAAAGGCCTATCCTTTTCCAGTTTTTTCACTAGTACTCATGTTAGTTTGAGTAGGCCAGGAGGACACTTTGTAATCATCTCTTTGCCAGCTGAGGGAATAGAGATAGTTGCACTTTCTGTGATGCTTGTTTATCATGGAGAAAAACCTTCCTGGAGCAGATCTTCCAGATTTTTCTTCCCAAAGCTTCCCATTTGTCAAATAATGCTTTAGTTTTATGTTCAGTAAGGGCTACTCTCACACTGATTCCTACTGTCACCCTGCAAGGCACACCAGGTTTGACAGTGACTAATCCAGATCACTTTGTGACATTAAAGTGCTTATCAACCTTAGAATGCTATCAATTTTGATCACATTGTATTCA